TCCTCCTTATTCTCAACAAGTAAGAAAATACAGACAATCATACACTGGAGTTAACATGCAACAATTCATACAATATTAACATGCATGCTCGACAGGGAGATAACGTTCATCTTCGCCTGGAGCACAGATTTCACAAAATTCACTTCCTCTTTTCATGTACATACAATAACATAATATTTTCTCATTTTAATCTCTTTCCATAACTTGTAATCTAATCCACTTGGTTCGACTGGTTTAATAGCATGCATGCTTATCCAAACGTATCCTACAAGTATTGCTCGTGGAAAAATCCAAATGGTTATGTACATGGTTGACGCGTGTCTTTCCAAGCTCGAACTTCTTATCGGAGAAGGTAGTAAAAATTATGAAATTTCCTTGGTGGGTTCTAATTCACACCAGAACAGAGTTAGTAGTGAAATCAAAGTGAAAAACTAGCAAACGGAGGCCAAACAAAGGAAATTGGAGGACTCACGTGGTAGGAATTACGGATCTCCTCAATGGTATGATATTGTCCACTTTGAACATAGGTTCTCATGACTTTGCTTTTGGGATTCCCCAAAAGGCCTCGTACCAATGAAAATGTATTCCTTTACTTATAAACCCATGATCATTCTGTGGGACTCACTCCCAACAATTCTCAATAATCCTCCCCTCGAACAAAGTACACTATAAGCCTCCCTTGAAACTTATGGAGCTCTCAAACAGCCTCCCCTTAATCGAGGCTCAACTCCTTTCTCTGGAGCCCTCGAACAAATTACTCCCTTTCTTCGACACTTTAGTCACTTTTGACTACACCTTTGAGGCTCACAATTCTTTGTTCGATATTTGAGGATTCTATTGTCATGGCTAAGTTTAGGGTATGGCTCTAAGACCATGTTAGAAATCACGGATCTCCACAATGGTATGATATTATCCACTTTGAGCATAAGTTCTCATGACTTTGCTTTTGGGCTTCCCCAAAAGACTTCATACCAATGGAGATGTATTCCTTTACTTATAAACTCATGATCATTTTGTGGGACTCGCTCCCAACAATTCTCAACACACAATATCTAACACTTAATGACTGTGAATAAATCTAAAATTATTATTACTCAAAGAACACAATACAGAAAAAACTGAAATATGAAGTGTTGTATTGTAGCTGTATTTTACTAACCGTAAGACTTCTATTTAAACTGAAATAACTCCTATAAAGACTCAATTGATTTGTACAAAACTACTTAACGTGCAACTAATTTATTTGTAGAAATAAAGCTAATAGACTCCTAATAAAAATTAATAACTTGGCTAATTCAAACTAGCAATAAGTTGCACTAAATTTTGATAGCCTCCCTTAGTGCAAGCTTATTTCTCAATACCTCAGAGAGCCTTACGAAAACTTCAAACTTCACTTTGACAAATGTCTTAGTAAATATGTCTACAACTTGCTCATTAGTATGTATTTTCTGCAATTCAACATCCTATGAAAACACTTTCTCTTGAACAAAATGATAATGAGTTTCAATATGTTTCGAACGAGCATGAAACACCAGATTTTCCGCAAGTTTTATTGCACTTTCATTACCACAATTAATTAAATTGGCTGATGTGAGTAGTCACCATTTCTTGAATAAGCCTCCGGAGGCACAAACATTCTTGAGTAGCTATTGTAGCAACTACATATTCTGCTTCACAACTGGACAAAGCAACAGTGCTTTGCTTTTTACTACATCATGAAATTGCAATAGAGCCTGCTGTAAAACAAAAACTTGTTGTGGAGCATATGTCGTTCACGTCCCCAGCCCAATCAGCATCCACACAAACCACTCAAGAAAAAAGACTTTGATTTCTCATACATTAATCCATAATTTAAAGCCCCTTTATTAACAAAGAATTCTTTTTGCTGCAATTAAATGAATCTCATGTGGCTGATCCATAAATTGAGACACAACTCCTACTGAAAAAATATTGTCGCCTCTTGATAGTTAAATAGAATAAACTACCAACAAGTTGACGAAAGAATGTAGTATCTTCTAATGATTTTCTATATGAAACCGCTGTAATAAACTTGCTGCATATCCTTTTTGAGAGAGAAAATAACCATCATAATTCTTAATTTCCAAACCCGAAAAACAATCAGCTTCACCCAATCTTTTCATTTGAAAACGACCAGACAAGGTATCTTGGAGACTAATGATTTCAACAATATCATCACCAATAATAATCATGTCATCAACATAAAGTAAGAGCAGGGTGCATACAGGTGTTGTTTTCTTAACAAATAAGCTCGGATCAACACATGAAGACTTAAAACCACAAAAATTAAGATATTGAGCCATCTTACCAAACCAAGCACGAGAAGCTTGCTTGAGTCCGTACAATGTTTTCTTAAGTCTGCACACATAATCAGGATATTCTTGAGAGGTAATTCCTTGCGGCTGCTCCATAAAAATATCGCGATCCAACTCTCCATAAAGGAAAGCATTTTTCACATCAAGCTGCCATAATTTTCAGCCTTTACTGGCAACTAAATTAGATGATTGTCCGTAATGTTACCATCCTTGCGACCGGACTAAAAGTCTCATCATAGTCTCGACCATATTGTTGAGAGAACCCAGGAGCAACAAGACGAGCTTTGTGTCTATCAATTCTACCATCAACATTTTTCTTCAACTTTTAAACCCACTTACAAGTAATTAAATCGGCATCATGAGGTTTTGGTACAAGCTCCAATGTCATTTTTTTCAAGTGCTAGAATTTCTTCCATCATTGCATTTTCCCATTTTGAGATCCCTTTAGCTTCATTGTACAACTTCGACTTATTTTCACTTGAATCTCCCATAAAAGAACAAGACATGACAGAAAATTGATTAATGTCAACTACAAAATCAGACAAATGATCTAGTAACTTTTACTGTCTTTGAGGATTTTTCTTGTAGCAACTTCAATATTTGTAGTGGCTTCTGTATTTTCCCCCGCTTGAATGTCTGTCGCAATGAAAAATCTTTTCTCCCTAATATAGAATCAATCATAAGGAAAGAGTGCAACAGTAGTTGTACTTTGCTGCCATCTGCATTGTATTTGTAACTTGAAATTTCATCAAACACCACATCGCGAGATACAATAACCTTCTTTGTTTCCAAATCCATACATCTCCAACCCTTTCTATGAGTATCATAGCCAACAAAAATGCATTTCTTGGATTTTGGCTCAAGTTTAGTTCGATTATGTTCCAGTACATGAACATAACAAATAGACCCAAAATTACGAAAATATCTCACATTGGGTTTACGATATAAATCAGCTCGAATAGTAATGATTCTGTCCCTGGCCAGGCAACTGATTTACAACATGACAAGCTGTTTCAAAAGCTAATGCCCATAACTCTCTTTGAAGACTCCTCACATGCAGCCAAGACAAGCAAACTGATGTAAGATGAGCTAACTTGCGCTCAGCCACCCCATTTTGTTGCGGGGTTTCTGGACAAGTCAGTTGACGCTGAATCTCATGCTCCTTACAATATTCCATAAAATCATTTGAAAGAAATTCCCCTCCATTATCAGAGCGCAAACACTCAATTTTCAATTTAAATTCTTTTTCTACAGCATGCTTAAATTGAATAAACTTTGAAAAAACTTCACTTTTGTGTTCTAAGAAGTATACCCAACTGAAACGAGAGTAATGATCCACAAACACCATCACATAATGAAGGCCGGTATAGCTTGTTGTTCGCGTTGGTTCCAAAAGATCAGAATGAATCAATTCCAATACTGTTGAAGCTCTACTCTTTGACCTTGGGAAAGAAAGACGATGAGACTTGCCATATTGACAGCCTGGACAAATCTCATCATGCTGGATATCTTTAAAAACAGGGACATCATCAAGAAGTTGTTTTGTGGATATTTTCTGCAACAATTGAGAACCCACATGACCCAAACGAGCATGTCAAAGTGTTGAGCTTGCATTATGACCAGCTTTCTTGATATATTCATCACTAGTTGATAAAACATACAAAGATTCTTTTCTTTTTCCACAGAACAGAATATCAGCAGCACCATGGTTCACATTAGAAAGAATTTGAACATCTTTAGGCAAAAAAAAAAAGAACATACCCTTCTGTTATTTGTGATACAAAAGCAAGATTTTTCTTCAAACTAGGAAAATGATAAATCTCCTTGAGTAGAACACTTCCATCATTCAAATCTCCTTCTTTCGTCAAAGGACGCATTGAATTATCAACTGTCATAATGACCTTCTTTTGACAATGTGGACGAACATCTGATAGAAAAGTTTCGTTTCTAGTTGCATAATGAGAACAAGAATCGACAATCCATTCTTCATTGTAGTCTATAAAGGCATGAACATCTGCAGAGACATCGTCTTGATGTATAACTGAAGTCACATTTGTTGGCTGGTCAAGAACCTCAATAGTTAAACAGTGTTCCCAAAATGGGTTTGAAGAATTTTTACTTTCATGTACAACATTTGCTTTTGATTCCTGCATTTTGACTCGACAATTTGGCTTAATATGACCTGGCTTTCCACAACGATCACACACCACTTTCACCCGACAATCTTGTTTAAGATGGTCAGGTTTTCCACACTTGTAACAAGCTTTAAATGGCTTCTTTGACGACTTCTCACTTCTGAATTGATTCTGAGTATTTGATGAAGGCTTTGAATGAAAATTCTGTCTTCTTTGATCTTTGACATACAACACATCTTCTGGCTTTAGAGGAAATAAAGGGCATAAAGTCTTTTCGTAATCCACGAATAAGATAACGACGTAATCGAGCATCACTCACTGGCTCCTCAGCATCTAATTCTGAAATTTCAAAACACAGATTTTTCACTTTCAAGAAATATTCTTCAACAGAAAAATTACCTTGAGTTACCATAGCTAGTTCATTCTCTAGAAATTGCAACCGAGCTGTATTTTTCTTAGTGTATTGTTTTTGAAGTGTTTTCCACACTTGCTTTGGTGACTTTAAATCACGAACATGATCAATATATTCCTTGCTAATCAAAGTTCGCAAGGTAAATAAAGATTTTCCACATTTGATATTCCATTTTCGGCGTAATTCAACATTCTGTGGAGTATCTACTGAAATTTATATGTCATCACCTTCAATTAAATCCCACAAATCTTGCCCCTGTAGATAAGCTTCCAAACATAACTTCCAATAATTATAAGTATTGCCAACAAGCTTTTCCATAGCTATACCCGTAGAAGCACTTCCACCATTCATCTTGTTAAGTAATAATATCAAGCTCTTGGTTACCAACCTAGCTCTGATACCAACTTATACAATATCTAACACTCAAAAGTGTGAAGAAATTTGAAATTATTATTACTCAAAAAAGACAACACAGAGAAAACTGAAATATGAACTGTTGTATTGTAGCTACAAAGACTCGACTGATTTGCACAAACTACTTAAGGTGCAACTAATTTATTTGCAGAAATAAAGCTAACCGACTCCTAATAAAAATGAATAACTGGACTAATTCAAACTAGCAATAAGTTGCACTAAATTCTGACATCACGTGCGCTGCACACACCGACCACACGCTCAAAGGGTCACTACACGTGTTTTCATGTGTGCGTACCACACATGAAATTCTGATCGGCATCGAGTCGAGCAGTTTGTCGGATGCAGTTCGGATCGCGTGTGGGTCTTCACATTGGATGCACGTCTGTCGACTGGTGGGCTTGACGCGTTTCTTCAGCCGAGTTCTGTCATGTGCCATCCACGGGCTCCGTTGCTCCTCCGCACGTCGGGCAATGCATACCAGTAGTTTTCTCTCTCCTTGTGTGTTGCAATTTTTAAAAAAGTCAAGAATTTCCTATTTCAATCCATTTTCTTCGGATCTTTATAACTTAACGCACACAACTCATATCGATTTGGTTTTTTCACCAAAGTCGTAGAGTTTTAGTCCACCTACCCCAATGTATTTTTCTTATAACTTTTACTTGAACTCAGAACAAAATAAGGACGTTCAAATTAGTGAAAAAAACTCACGTTTATTGTTCTTGACTTTTTCACCTGATCTCCTATTAGACTCCGATTTTCGTCTAAGTTTTCTTCAAGAAACCTTTATAGACCCTCTTTAGTTCATCTCTTCAAAGATTAGAGCTTTAAACTCGAAAAACTCTTTGGATCTACATAAAACCAAATCGAAAGGCCATAACCATACCTTGATGTGTTCTCGGGTTTCTTGCCAAAACGAGTGATTCCGCCAATGACAGATTTGAGCGATTTTTGGCTTTGTCTTTCTTCTCCCTTCAAAACCCTAACCTCTTTTTTTTTTTTCTCTCTCTCTTTCATATTATGTTCAAACCCTTCAAACCCCTCAAGTAGGAGTAGGGAAAAAATGGTCATTTTGCCCCTAAGTTGACTTTGACCGTTTTTTTCCAACTATCTTGAGAATATCTCCCTTCTTCAATGAATTGAGTCTCGGTCTCCTCGGCATACAATAAGATCTTATGATTTTCTTATTATATAAATATTTTTTTGAATCTTAGGAAGGAAAGCAACGGTCATTAGTACCTCCTAAGCTCGGGCATTACAATTCTCCCCTTCTTAGGAGCTTTCACCCTAAAAGTTGGTCCTCCCTGGAAGAGTTTACAGTAAGACCTCCTCATATCATCTTCATGTTCCTAGGTGGCTTCGTTGTCTTAGTGGTTTTCCATAGGACTTTGACTAAGGGAATCTCTCTTCTGCGCAATTTCCTTACATCACGTGCCATTATCTTGATGGGCTTCTCTTCGTAGGACAGATACTCCCAGAGGGGAAGTGTCTCATGATCAATGATACGAATGGGATCCAGAGTGTACTTCATCAAGATCGAGACATGGAAGACATTGTGCATCGTAGCGAGGGTGGGTGGTAACACATCTTATGTCACAGGCCCTACCTTTTCTAGAATTTCAATGGGGCCCACAAAACTCGGGTTCAACTTGCCCTTCTTCCCAAACCTCAGCATCTCTCTCGTAAGGCCACTTTTAGGAAGACGTGATTACCCATGTTAGTGAAAGAATGAGTGATTGAATGGTCGATAAGAAAATTGAATTATGAAGAGCAACAATGCTCAATATATAGAGAGAGAATACAAAAAGACATTTAGAAATCTACCTAAAAATCTGAAGAAAATCTAGTAACAACCCAGTAAACAAATCAAAAACTAAATTTAATCAAAGCTAAATCAACTCCTAACTAGAAGGAGATTTAATTGAACTCCTAACTACAAGGAGATTTAATTAGATATTAACTGACAACAATCTAAACAAACACGTGATCTTTAACACTCCTCCTTGTTTAGATGCTGTGAACTCCAAGCTTTTTCCTAAATACTCATCTTACTCCAATTATCTTTCTGTTTAGAGGTCGATCAACCAACTTCCTGGTTTTGTTTTTCTCGATCACCGAAAGCTCCTTCTCTGACAAGTGCATCATCAACCAAAGCATCTTGTCGTTCATCTTTAGACTCTTCTAACATGCTACCAAAGATTAAATTGTTTGGTGCATTAGAAATCTGATTCACCTTTGTCAGTTCTTCCCAATTCCATTGCTCATTTCCAGTAAAATGAACATCTCGGCTCACAATAACACGACTAATGTGTGGTTGAAAAACTCTATAAACTTTTGATATAATGTTATACGCCCACAAAGATGCCAGCTTCTGCCTTTTTGTCAAGCTTATCACGCTTGACCTTGTTGTATTTTGATAATCGGCCAGGGAAATCCTTTCTTTTCGGTGAGAGGAAATTGTCGACAGGAGGTTGTTGGAAGAAAAATAAAATGCGTAAAATAACAAGGAGAGAGAATGATTGAAATTTCGACTGCGCTTAAAATCAGGTTGTGAAATCTTCTGAACAGATTTTCTATTTAAATATAACCTATCCTAAAAATGGCTGGAGAGTGGCAACTGAATCTGTGCCACTTCCTACAAAATTGCCGTCTAAAACTTCGTTAATCCATTCGACGTGTTTGTCAAATGGTCAAACGGAGAATTAATGTAATCGTGTGAATCTAAATAAGGAAAAACTCAGGTTTTATCTAACAGACCTGTGGAATGTAAGTGAAGAAAAGACACCCAAATACTCTAAGGAACTTTAAAGAAGGTTTGTAACCATACCAAACTTGAAATGGTGTCAGGTCCTTCACAACTTTTGTTGAAATTCGATTTTGCAAGCACACAAAAGTGTTTGCTGCTTTTCCCCAAAAAAGTTTTGGAAGATCCTTCTCATAAAGCATGCATCTAGTCATCTCCATTATAAATCTATTCCTCCTTTCACTGATGTCATTCTGTTGAGGAGTGTATGGTGCTATCAATTGATGTTCAATTCCAGCCTTTTCACAAAACCTGTTAAAAGTTTCTGAAAGTGTACTCCTTGCCATTATCTGATTTTATAATTTGAATCAAGCATGCACTTTCATTCTCAACTCTGGCTTTGATTTTCCAAAATACACCCGCAACTTCTGACTTTTGCTTCAACAAGAAGATCTAACACATTCTTGTTAGATCACCAATAAAAATAATGTAATAAAGATTACCATTTAACGATGGTGTTCGCTGAGGACCACAAAGATTAGTATGAACCATTCGCAGTTTTTTCGAGGCTCTTCATGCGTGTTTAGGAAAGGGTTGCCTAAGTTGCTTCCCAAAATTACAAGCACGGCAAGGAGGCATGTCATCATCAATGTCAGCGAGTCCTTCTACCAGCTTCTTTGACTGCATCTGAAGCAAACCTCGATGATGAAAGTGCCCAAGTCTTTTGTGCCAAAATTCAGTGGCACTAGCTCTGAATATAAAGGCCATCTGCTCTTTCTCCATCAAATTTAGAGCAAAGCTTTTTCCTTTCATTTTGACATTGAACAAGTCTTTGCCACTAGCATATTTGATCAAACACTGCTTATTCTCAAACAACACTTTATAGCTTTTATCAAGTAACTGACCAGCACTTAAAGAGATTTTGATCAATTTTAGATACAAATAAAACATCTGGAATAAATTTTGTACCTTCATAACTTGTTACAACTACTGTGCCTTTTCCTTTGACTTCCAAGTGTTCACCATTGCCAATTCTCACTCTTTTGACTTCAATGTCTCTTAATTCCTCAAAAAACTCCTTGTCATATGTCATATGATTTGTGCATCCACTGTCAATCAACCAGCTCTCGCTTGATTCTTTGTCTGAGAAACAAGTGATCACAAACAATTGATCTTCTTCTTCTTGATCAATTACCTGTGCATCAACTTCTATCACCTGACCTTTAACTTTGTAGATCACAACTTCATGTCCAAGTTGATTGCATTTGGAGCATTTGGCGTCAGGTCTTCTCCAACACTTGTATGGTGGATGACCTTTCTTCTCACAATGGCGACAAGGTGAATAGGATTTTTTGAAACCTCCTCCTTTTGTCTTCTGATAATTGGTAGATGAATCTTCATTCGTCGATTGGTTTTTTAAAATTTTCTTGTTTTTATACCTGTTGTTGTCTTGATGCTTAATAGGTAAGAAACCTTCAATCACCCCTTCTTGCCTCATAGACCTCCTTTGCTATTGTGCTTGTAACGTATTCAAGAGCTCTGTAAGAGAAATCTTTGACAAGTCTTTGGTATTCTCCAGAGTAGTAATGGTGGCTTCAAACTTCTCTGGAACAGTGACTAGCAATTTTTCAACGATCCTTAAATCATTTAACACAGAACCAAGCAATCTCACCTTGTTGGCAATGCTGAGAAGTCTGTCAGAGTAGTCTTTCACCGACTCAGACTCTATCTTCTGCAACTTGAAATCCCTAATTAAATTCAGGACTTTCATTCCACGAATCCTCTCATCTTCTTCATATTCAGTCTTGAGATAATCTCAGATTTCCTTTGTTGTTTTGAGGGACATTATTCGCATGAAGATCATTTGAGATACAGCCGCAAATAGGCAAGTTTTTGTCTTTGATTTCCTTGTCTTCTTTTCCTTCTGTACTTTAATTTGTGCTATAGTAGGATTTTCTAGAAGTGGAGGGACCTCGTCATCCTCTTCTATTGCTTCCTAAAGGTCCAAAGCCTTCAAATAAGTCTCTATACAAACTGCCCACATTTGATAATTGTCTCTGATACCAATTATTAGTGAAATAATGAGTGATTGAATGGTTGATAAGAAAAATGAATTATGAAGAGCAAGAATGCTCTATATATATAGAGAATACAAAAAGAAATTTAGAAAATCTAGCTAAAAATCTGCAGAAAATCTGGTAACAAACCAATAAACAAATCAAAAACTAAATCAAATCAAAACTAAATCAACTTCTAACTATAAGGAGATTCAATCAGATACTAATTGACAGCAATCTAAACAAACACGTGATCTTTAACAACCCACTACAAACTCGAGGTCTTTCCTACTAAAGTATACTTAACTCTTTTATCGGCTTTGTGTAGAGAGTATCCTCTGTCAGATTTTCTATTCTGCTGCATTAGTAGTTTGTACCAACTCCAGCCCTAAAAGATGTTTCTTCACTATGGCCTCCTAGAATATTCGGGTTCGAAACCTCCTCCCATATAGAGCCTCAAATGGTGCCATGTGAATAGTCGATTGATAACTGTTGGTTTAGGCAAATTCCATAAGGGTCAGGTGCTTGTCCCAGCAACTTGTAAAGTCTATAACACAAGCCTTCAACATGTCCTCTAGGTTGATTCAACCTCTCAGTCTGCCCAATCGTTAGAGGGTGCAACGCCGTATTGATCATGAGTTGCATTCCTGGTGCCTTCTACAAAACCTTCCAGAAATTCGATGTAAACTTAACATCTCGATTTGACACAATGGATACTAGCACTGCAGACATACTATCTCTCTGATGTATAACTTGTCCCATTGGTCAACTACATAAGTGACCATGCCTGGAATGAAAGTGGGTTGTCTTGGTCAATCTATCCACAATGACCCAGATAACATTGAAGCCTCGTCTTGTTTTCAATAGGTTCGAGATAAAATTCATGCTTATTTCTTCTTATTTCCATTGTGGAAGTTCAACGATTGTAACAACCTTGTTGGTTATTGTCTTAGGATATTTACCTGTTTATATATCAGACACTGTTGGATATATTCCATGATCGAAATATGCCAAAACAAATGAAAGAAGTAAAAAAGTCAACTTGAGGGGAGAACTTTTGAAACAAACAAGCGTTAAACACTTAGCAAAGCACAACTAGTTTCCTAAAATTTCTCCTCAACTTATACACCACTAACTATCTTTCTAAATAAAGGCTAACAATTTCCTTAAACCTATTCAAGCCAATAACTATTTTTTGCCAAGTCAAGATGATTGATTCACATTCTACCCCGTAAGCTTGACTTTTCTTACGACACCTGTATGTCTGCAAAGCTTAACCCTTTGTTAGGGTCTTAGTGAGAATATCTGCATGTTGCTCTGTATTGTTAACATTGCTGAGTCCCTGATCAACTCTGTATTCTTCATAAGAAGCTTTAATTCCACAACATAAAATTTCTTTCATTTCTCTCTTATGTTCAGGGACTTCTTCATCTTGTAGGGTACTCCTTTCTCTTTCAACCTTCTTTTTAAACATGCCTCTAGCCTTCATCAGTGAGGGGGCAAATTGATATTCCATTTTTCTTATGCCCGGGTGGCCTTCCTCTAGACCTATGTGGTTGAGATGACAAGTATGATGAAACACGTCATCTTGTAGGTTTCTCTTCACTGATTGTAGTAGCCTATGGTTTCTTCTTGGCTATGTTCGGCAGTTCCTTTTTCTTCTAACCGGTTGGTTTCTTCTTCACTTTCTTGTTGTAAACGCCAATGGATACTTTTGGAAGATGTTGATTATCTTTAAATAGTATCTTATATAGGCGATTTTACGACCTTTTTGCCTTCATCAACAGGGCTCTATTTCTATCGTATACCTTGAGGAATGGGCCGACTATCTCCACTCTGCTACCTTCTTCTATCATTTGACCAAGGGTAATAATATTGCTCTTCAAACTTGGGATGTAATACACCTTGGTCAATAGACGTTGATCGTCGTTCTTACACTGGAACAAGATAGATCCTTTGCCTTGGATCAGTACAATTGATCTGTCGCAAAGCTTCACATTTTCAGTGAACTTCTCATCAAGCTCCTTGAACTTTCCTTGATCTCCAGTCATGTGGTTGCTCGCTCCGTTGTCTAGATACCACATGCTGGTCTCCACTTGGTCTTCTTCATCTATGAAGGGGTTCGCCATAACCTTCTTTTCATTGAGCATCAACATGTTGGACATTTTCTCGTCCAACATCAATGTAGGCTCTTCATCATCCGAGAACATGAGGTTTACCTCCTCATCGCGCTCCTTATTGCGGCACTTCTGCCACGTAATGCCCATATTTTCCACAAAAGTAGCACTTGATCATACTCTTGTCCTTCCGAGGTTTGGCATTTTAATGAGTTTGTGACGTATTGTTATGATCTCCTCTGCCACCACGTCCACGACCTTTTTTCTTTGTTATGGCTGCCATGTCTGCTCGTACCTGAAAAAAAAAGAGTCATCTGCATCTTTCTTTTTCATCCATGTGAGCCACTCTACATGTGTGAGTAAGAGGTATTTCTCCTTTCTTTGTATTCGTAGTCATTAAGTCTCTCCTCATAGACCTTAAGATGACCAACGACCTCCTCAACCGATATGTTCTTGAGGTCACCAAACTACTTGATGGAGGAAACAATCTGCATGAGTCTTGAGGGAACAACTCGAAAGAACTTCTTGACGACGGAGATCTCCTCCATCACGTCGACTAATGAACGGATGCCGCTGACGATCATCGTCAACTTCATGCCAACTTCGCCTCTTCACTCACCTTCCTTCATGCGGATATCCTCAAACTCACTCTTCAAGGCCTGTATCTTTGCTTCCTTGATGCGTTCTACACCCACGTGCATTGTTTGCAGCGTATCGCATGCTCCCTTTATCGAGTCCTACTTTACCAACATGAGAAGGACGTCCTCCTCAATGTCATGATGTTCGACAGTGCCCCACACGTCTTGTGTTTGTAAGTTAATACGCATCTTTATCGATCATGCTGCGTAGTTACTCTTGGTGAGCAACGGGTACTGGAGCATTACACTTCCCTCCCTTTCGCTCCTTATCATTGTTACATTTCCTCCAGCAACTTTGTATGGTGACGACATTTTTTTCGGCATCCTAGCTTTGATACCAAACATTGGATTTGGCCCATGACTGAAATGTGTCCAAACAAATGAAAGAAGCAAAAAGGACAACTTGAGGGGAGATATCTTTTGAAACAAAGAAGCGTTAAGCACTTAGCTTTTCAAATATATTTGTTGTTATGAAAGTAGCATACATCTTATAGTGGAGAAAACACAACTAGTTTCCTAAAATTTCTCCTCAACTTACGCACAGCTAATTATCTTCCTAATTAAAGACTAACAATTTTTGTAAACCTATTCAAGCCAATAACTATTTTTTATCGAGTCAAGCTTATTGACTCACAGACACTGACCCACATACTCAACTACGTTCTTCTTCATTCCTGACCACCAGTTACTACACTTCAAGTCCTGATGCATTTTAGTGCTTCTAGGGTGGAAGGTATAGGACGTGCAGTGGGCCTTAGTTAGGATTTCTTATAGGATTTTCTCATCTCAAGGCACGCAATGTCGGTCCTACCACATTAATTCCCTTTCTGAACAAACTGAGTATCCCTCTATTCTCTCAGTCCTATGTTGATCCCAGATCTTGTTGAGATGCATATCAATTCACTAAGCATCGATGATACGTCTTTTAAGGGTAGGTTGAGCAGAAAGCTATGCTAATTGAGTAGTGACGCCTCTAACGATGACCTTTATTTTGTCACTCTGCATCTCATCCTGTAGATACCTATATGCTTTGTGATCAAGGCGAATGTTTGGGCTATTTTTCTACTCAAGGCATCGACCACCACATTGGCTAATCCTGGGTGGTAGAGTATTTCGATGTCATAGTCCTTAACAAATTCCAACCACCTTTGTTGTCTCATGTTCAACTCTTTCTGCATAAATAGGTACTTGAGTCTCTTGTGGTCGATGTACACTTGTACCCTCTTCCCATACAGATAGTGACACAAGGTTTTCAATGCGAACACCACAACTGGCAACTCTAGATCATGGGTAAGATAGTTGCACTCATATTCTCTCAACTACCTGAGGCATAGGTTTATAACCTTGCCCTGTTGTATAAGTGCACACCCTAGTCCTTTTCCCGAGGCGTCGCTGTAAACTACGAGTCTGCCTGAGCCATCAGTCACTGTAAGTAATGGTGAAATGACCAACCTTTCTCTAAGTTCCAGAAAACTCTACTCACATGTTGGTGACTAAACGAAGGGTCTTCCCTTGGTTAGTTGAGTCAGTTGTTGAGATCTAAGAAAAATCTTGTACAAATCTTATGATAGTCTGCGAGGCCCAGAAAACTTCTTACTTAAATATGGTGGTTGGTCTGGGTCACCTTAAAACTGCTTCGATCTTAGCTCGGTCCATGGTTATTCCCAAGTTAGACACTATGTGACCAATGAAAGTCACCTTTTGTAGTCAGAACTTGCACTTTGTGAATTTGACATACAACTTGTGGGTTCTTTATAAGGTCAAGACTCTTATCAAATGTTCCTCGTTGCCTTAGATTTAGAATGCCTTAGATGTAGAATACACCAGAATTTCATAAATGAATGCAATCACGAAGTTATCCAGGAATTCCTTAAACATTCTGTTCATCTAGTCCATAAATATTGCAGGAAAATTTGTTCATTTACTTCATCTAGTCACTTCGCTCAACAAATTTCTCAGCCACAATGCTTGGCACGAGGCCATAGTTGCTGATGGCCTCACAGGAAGATAATGACACAGTTTTCTATTTCTAAGACTGCCAAGAGATCAAATTTCTGTTGAGATAAAATGTCATTCCTACGGTGCTTTTTCTATCGTCAATGTCTCCAGTTAAATCACTATCGGTAAAAGTGACTAGTTCTTCAAGACCTCACCCTCTTTATACTTCAACCCATAGCTTGTGGTTTCCTTCACGTAGCGGAGAATATACTTAACCGCTTGATGATGCATCATAGTGGACTTTTCCATGTACCTACTCATTATTCCAACATCATATGAAAGGTTCGAACGAGTATGAGTCAAGTACCTTAGACTTTCGATGACACACCTATACTCAATGGAATTCATCAAGCTTCCTCCAGCATCTTTCCCGAGTTGTAACTATACTTCCATGGGATACTTGGTCGGGTTGCACTCTACCATCTTAAATTTCTGCAACAACTGCTTAGCATAGGTCGATTTCTTTGGCATGATGTAATCTTTCCTTTGGTCAACTTCAATACCGAGGTAGTATGTGAGTAACCCGAGATCATTCATCTCAAATTCTTTCATCATTTTCTGCTTGAACTCTTTGACGCCTTCCACGCTTGTACTAGTGACAATCAGGTCATTAACGTACACGCCAACGACGAGTGTTTCAACCCCATCGTTTCTTGTGTACACTACTTATTCCTGTGAGCACTTCATGAAGTTTAGACTCTTTAAGCTCTTGTCCAGATGTATGTTCCACGCCCTCGGTGCTTGTCGTAAAATGTAGAGGGCTTTTGACAACTTTTACACTTTGTGCTCTTCTGCTTTGATGACAAACCCTTTAGGTTGGGCAACATACACTTCTTCTTGGAGGTCACCATTTAGAAATGCTAATTTGACGTCCAAGTGATGGACCTCCCATCCATGTTGAGCTGCGAGGGCAAGAATCAATCTTACAATGTCTAGTCTAGCCACAAGCGCAAAATCCTCCTCAAAATCAACTCCTTGCCATTGCACATATCCCTTCGCTACGAGTCTTGCTTTATGTTTGATGACATTTCCTTCACTATTCTTCTTCAACTTAAACACCCACTTCAAACCAATGGGCCTCTGTTGTTCTTCTTAATGGCTTCAAGTTAGTTAGTGCCCATGTTTTGTTCTTCTCAATGGCTTCAAGCTCCTTTTGTATGGCCTCCTGCCAGATCGTCTCAGTTGCTGCTGAAGGGAATGAACTCTTCATCCACGTAGCGGAAGCATTGGGAACCGTTTTGATTTTATTATGAATTAAAACAAAGCAATAAATAGAAGAGTAAAAACTCTACCTTTGTAGAAACCCTAGCTTGCAAGACTCCTCGGATATTCCAATCATGTAGAAGTTCTTGAACATTGCACAAGATCTTCCTTACTATGACTCGAACACAAGATCAACGCTTGTGGGAGCCTCTTGAAAGAAAATCCCAAAGGGATTGGAGAAAGAGTTTCGAGAATTATTTGGAGATTTAATTTCATTCTCTAGAGAAAGTAGGAGAGATTAATATATCTTTGGCTCAACTCGAGGGTCCTATCCATAGGGGTCTTAGAGAATCTTTGCCAAATAATATATTTGCATATTTAATATATTAGGATATAATACCTTATATAAATCATATTTAGATATTATAACATATTCTAATATATATTTAATTAATTTGAATCTCATTCAAATTTTAAATATATTTTTATTTAATGTATCCAAATATACTAATTGATTTAATATTTAATTGTATCAAATACAATAAATATATTTTTCCTTTTTAATATCTCTAATATATTAAATATTAATTTGAACACTCCAAATTATTTTTTTTTTCTCCATTTATATTTAACATATCTAATATATTAAATATTAATTTGAACACTTCAAATTAAATATATTTTTTCTATTTATTTAATATCTAATATATTAAATATTAATTTGACATTTTAAATTAAATTTATTTTTTCCTTAACGTATCTAATATATTAAATATCAATTTGAACACTTCACATTTTCTTTCAAATAATTGAACCTTTTAACGTTACTATGAGCTAGCAAGGGAACCTTATGGACCTACATATTATAAGCTCCAATAATATAAAAGTAATTAATTAAACTCTTTAATTAATCAATTTTCATTCATTAACTATAGGTCACTTCACTATAGACCTAGAGTTGCACTCTTATGCACTATAGGACAAGTTATATCCATTGATATAACCATTATAAGCAAGTCAATCCTTCACAAGTTGTTCATAATTACAGCTGGGTCAAAAGTCCATCTTACCCTTGGAAATACATCTTTCACCTTAAGTACCACTGATTTTCTAATGAATAATTTGTTTATGATCCAATCATAAACCAAGTCTCTCTCGGGCCAATGAGGGTGGGGCCCATTGTTCAAGTTCCAAAATAGTACTTAGAACAACTCATCTACTTTCCTTATATGGAAATGAGTGAATTCTATTTCATGATATTATGTTCCCAACTCCCTATTTGGTCAAGTCCCCAAAATGGTAGACATATTGAATCTGCTAATAAAGTCATTCTCACCCATGTAAATTAAAGGACAAGCTCTCACAGGCACGAGTTCATAAGATTAAGATCGAGTCGCATATGATCATCATGTGAAATATTAATCTTCTCAATTGACAGATTTATAAAGAGAGATTAAATATTTCTTGGTCCAGTCTTATACAAACTCATTGCATAGGATACCCCCACTTACATGTCTCCACATGAACGATTTAGATCAAATCATTTGTAATGATTACAAAGTGGGTCGTATCAATAGTGTTACCAGGATACGGCACCCAACCTTATTCATATACTATAGACTCTTTATGTTATTACTTGAACACGATCCTCTTGTATGTCAACCACATACTGTTTAAGATTACATTAATGACTTTGGATTTTCGTACAATGGATAACAATTAAATTACAAATAAAATAATAAAATTATTGTTAAAAACTAAATAATTAATTACGAGGCGTTAGGGCATAAATCCCAACAGCTGCCCATGATAGGTTATCGGCTCCTCGATTGTGAGCAACACTAACTCATCAGGATCCAATTCTTTTTCAAGTGTATCGGCATAAATTTTTGCAAGAGAACGAAACTTCTTTGGTCCATCCTCTGTTGTGGATCCTCCTGTGCTCTCGCCTGAGCTCTCTTATTCTAGAGAGTCCATCACGCCTTTTGGTATCACCAGTGATGACATGTGTGGACTTGTTGGAGTTGCTGTAGGGGCACTTTTGATGTCTGTGGTGCCTTCCTTTTCTTCCAGAGTAATGAACTTTGTAACAGTCTGCTTGTTATCGCCAACGCTGCACCAATCTCACTTCTTCTGTTCTTTGAATACGACATCTCTACTTACATGAATTTTCTAATGTTGCGGATCATACAACTTGTGTGTCTTGGTTCCATCCTCTATGTCAAAGTACATCATCTTTTGGCTTATGTCATCAAGCTTTTTGATATATGGTTTTGCAGTTTTAACATGTGTTGTACAACCGAAGACTCTTAGCTACTCGAATTTAGGTGTCTTGCCGAACTATGTTTCATAGGGGCTACAAGTGTTCAGCGCCTTTTTCGGTAAACAATTTAGAAGATAAACTGCATGTCGTATTGCCTCTACCCAGAAAATCGCCAAAACTTGCATGTTCTTGAGTAGGCTTCTTGTAGTGTTCATTATGATGCGATTTCTTGGTTCGACCACACCGTTTTGTTGTGGAGTGTACAGTGCAGTGAGTTGATGCTTGATACCTTCCTCTTCGAAAAACTTTGAGAAGTTCTAGAATAAGAACTCGCTACCTCGGTCGTTGTGCAAGGTTTTCTACTTGTGACCAGACTCGTTTTCAACGAGTCTTCTGAATTTCTTAAATGCACATAATGCCTCTCCTTTTTCTTTGAGCATTACACCCATATCCAACTACTGTAATCATCAACAAGTAAGAGAAAATACTAATGATGTGATGATTGGGCCACAAAAATGAGCATGAAGTAGTTGTTGACTTTTTGGTCCTTAATCTCACCTTAATTAATTTTAATTAATTGATGTTTTGATGATAATAAACCTACTTCTAGTTATTAACAATTTTCAGTATTTTGAACTGTCCGTAGTATAAGATTGGAAATAACGATTTCAGCGAATTTTCAATCACTCCGAAGAAGTTACAATCGAAACAAGATACCCGACATGATAATGTGGTAGCTAAATAAACATCATGGAAAAATCAAACGGTGAGGATTCAAATTTTATTTTTTTAGATTTTATGTTTAAGTTTTTATTTTTGTTGCTAAAAATGAAAGGATATTAGGCTAAACATTTATTCTCATCAGAAAAGGTGGGCAATTTACACAGGGGAGTTATTACCTTAATAGAAATGTTATGGGACTCCTTATATTCCTATGTTTAACCCTTCTCTTTCCTTAAAAAGGATTTTTGCTCTCCAAACTCGTCTCAGTGTCCAAGGGTGTCGGAAAGAATAGGAAAACCGAGAGTGTTAGAGGGGAAAGCGTGTGGGTTGGTTTGCTAAATTTCTTTTTCGGTGAGTTTGTGAAACGTGCTGTTCGGAGGAAAAATCGAGTGAATCGACGTCGGGATCGCTGTGCTCGTTAGAAATTAGAGTCGGAGGCGTTAAGTGACTGTCGGAAATAGAAGGTTTCATCGTGGGTTGTTGGACGAGGAGGCAACATAATCAATTAGGGGTTTCGGCCTTTTGAGTAAGGAAGACGAAGGAATAGGGTCGGGTTCAGTCTCTAACCAGCCCACAAACAAACATGGGTCGCACTCGTTTCAGCCCAGCAGGCGCGTGCATTCTCTTAGCTTCGCACACGTATTCGTGGCAGCTTGGCTTGCACGTGTGTCAAGCAACTCGGCTACATCGCTCCTCGGCTCATCGAAGGCGGCTCGACGGTCGGCTCGATTGTCGGCTCAGTGGCTCAGCTTAGCGACTCAGTACCCATAATATATCGATTTCTAGCTTTTCAGCCCTTCCGAAGCCGTTCACACCCTTATTTTTACCATCTGAGGTCAGTATGGTTCCTAACCGTCAAAGGCAGTTTGTGTTGGGAGTTTATTTCGATAAATATCATGAGATTTAGGTAGGGTATGTTATGAAAGGTTCCTAAATTTTTATGTGGTTATTATAGGACGTAATTAACTGTTAGAATTAGCTTGTTGTAAGTGACTTCGACAAGGGCCATCGAGGTAAGTGACTTTACTGTTGGAGTTAGCTTACTACGTGTTGTATGATGGTGCATGTCCTGTGGCTCCTGCATGCATCATATTTTATGTGTTATGACTATATGATGTATGGATTATGTGATTATTTACACTATGGAAAGTTATGGATTATGCTGACTATTGACTGTTGATTGTTTACGCTATGAAAAGTTATGAATTATGTTGACTATGGGCTGTTTACGCTATGAAAAGTTATGGATGATGTTGACTGTTGACTGTTTATGCTGTGAAAAGATTGTTGATCTGCTCGTATTATATGCAATGAAAATATTGATCGATGTCATGGATACACATAGTATTATCGAGTCATGTTATGGATACACATAGTATTATCGAGTCATGTTATGGATACACATAGTATTATCGAGTCATGTCATGGATACACATAGTATTATCGAGTCATGTCATGAGATGTTTATGGAACAATAATGTATTTTCATGTTATGTAATATGCCATGTAATGTAAGAAACGTATATGTGATGTTAGTAATGCTTATGTAATGCCATGTTAAATATGTTAAGGGACCTCATGCATATATGTATGTCACTTGCATCGGGATACTTCCCCTTTATGTTACGAAAGAATGAAATACGATATTTATGTTCGCCATGATATCATGTGGACCCTTTTTTGTTCTGTGGTGTCCAGCGACGTGTATTATGTTGTGCCTGACCAAGCCAAGCTCAGAAGGTACGTATATGAGCCCGCCTAGTGGGTCCATGTGCGCGTACATGGGCCGTGTGTGAAGGAGTACCACACATCCAACCCTACCTAGAATAGAAAAGCGTCCAAGGCCAGGTAGAGTTTACGAAAAGTTAGGTCCCGCTCATATGTTGCATGTGTTTGCATTTCTAACCCGACATTGGGGTGACTTACTGAGTATTTCATAAAATACTCAAGCCACGTGCTACATACATTTTTCAGGTAAAGGCAAGGTGCCAATTTCAGGTTGACGGTGGAGCTTAGGATACCATGGAAGTGGACGAGGGGCATTTTTAGTAGTTTATGTTTATTTGACTAATTTAAGTTGCATTGAACATTATTCTATTTAGATTTGTTTTGAATTCACTTACGGAAGGTTTTATTTTCAAAGATAGATTTGTTTTGAATTTTTGGACGTTTATGTAAGACTTTGTTGTATTTTCCAAGGTTATTTAGGATGAGCTTCCGCTTAATGAATTATGTATGCATGAGTGACGTCACTAATTAGGTTAAGAAAATTAGAGTCAGTACACAAACCATCTCATTTAAAATTTTGGAAGAGTAATAAATTGTGGAGTTTTTTTTAATTATATATAATATTATCTAATATATCATTTGAATAAAAAAAAATCTTTACTCACAATCTTTTTATTATTATTATATTATATTATTAAATTTTAAAAATTTAATTCTTATAATAAATTTTGAAATTTGAATTTAACCGTAAATCACGTTACTTTTTATTATTTTTATATTATCATATTTATAATAAATTTTGAATTTTTCTAATGGTTACTTATCTTGATTTTTATTATTTTTATATCATATTATTATATTTATAAAAAATAATAAAAGTAAATTATGAAAATTTTACTCCCATTATTATTATTACTACTATTATTATCTACTTTTAATCTCCACCTTCCATTTCTCTATTAATATAATTTAATGGTCCACATTAATATCAACCTTTTTACCACTTTCTTCTCTATTTAAACTCATCTACTCCCCATATTTTTATAACATAACTTCCATAATTCTTCAATTCTCAATTTTTTAGTGACTTTGTTGTTGCTCTCTAGTTGTAAGTGCTCAACTTGTAAATCTACTCTTTTAGAGAGTTGTTGTGTATTCTTACAAAATTTCAATACTTATAGCATTTTGATCCTTAGCCGTGGAAAGGATTGAATTTGCTCTTAAACTCGTGAAAAGAGTGGTGTAGCAGTTGGGCTCTAATCCGAAGAGAAAGTCAAGAAAGTTCTTTATTCAAATTCTCAAGTGGCGCTTGAGGAGTGAAGTAGGTTGAGTTTGACCGAACCACTATAAAACTAGGGTGTTATATTTTTTAATAAAACTAGGGTGTTATATTTTTTAATAAAACTAGGGTGTTATATTTTTTAATAAAACTAGGGTGTTATATTTTTTAATAAAACTAGGGTGTTATATTTTTTAACTCTTCTCTATTTAATTTTAAAATTATTATTGTGATTTATTGCATGTTCTAAGTCTTTCGTAATTGTTTAGAGTTAACTATTTTGTTGTATTAATTATCATCCTCTACCTATTTTTAAAAAGTTTCATAATTAGAAAAATTAAGCACGATTAAATACTTTTATCACCCCTAATCTTTTACCTATTTTTAAAAAGTTTCATAATTTGAAAAATTAAGCACGATTAAATACTTTTATCTTAAAACTCTATTCACCCCTCTAGGGTTGTCATATTGATCCAATACTAGTTTCAGTGGTCGCTTAACACGTAAATTAGTTTGAGTTGGGAACTACAATCTTGCTTGTTTAGAGACTAGACAACTTTCACATACTTGGTTCGAGTGTATAATTTTGGGTAGCCCCGTACCAATCTTCTTCTCTTCCATCATTTTGAGCGTCTGGAAGTTCACGTGCCCAAGTCTTACATGTCATCGCCAAGTTGGGTCTGCAAGTTTCATCAATAGAGAGGTAGATTGGCTAGTCTCTAATAGTATCCTGTATAGGCGGTTATGCGATCGTTTTACCTTCATCAACAAGGTTCCATTTCTGTCAAACATCTTAAGGAACGAGCCAGCTAACTCCACTCTGCTTCCATCTTCCATCATCTGACTAGGATTGATAATGTTACTCTTCAAGTTTGGGATATGTATACCTTTTTTAGTAAACGTTGGTCACCATTCTTGCATTGGAACAAGATGGATCCTTTACCTTGGATCGGTACAGCTGATCCATCACCAAACTTCATGTTTTCAGGGAGCTTCTCATCAAACTCCTTGAACTTTGTTCGATCTCTGGTCATGTGGTTGCTTGCTCTATTGTCAAGGTACCACATGTTGGTCTCCACTCGATCTTCTCCTTTTGTGAGAAGGTTAGCCATAATATTTTCTTCCGTTGAGCATGATAAGATTGGGCATCTTCTCGGCCACGTTAGTGCAAGCTCTTGATCTTGCATGAGTGTGAGGTTTGCCTCCTCATCTCGCTTTTTGTTGTAGCACTCTGCCGCATAATGACCATATTTTCCACAGGAGTAATACTTGATCATACTCTTGTCCTTCCGAGGGTTGACATTTTCATGGGTTAGTGAAGTATTGTCAAGACCTCCTTTGCCACCACGTCTGTGGCCATATCCACGTCCACAACCTCTTTTTTCTTTGTTATGGGTGCCACATTTGCTCATACCTAAAGAAGAAGAGTCATTTGCATCTTTCTTTTTCGTCCATGTGAGCCACTCTTCACGTGTGAGTAAGAGGTATTTCTCTTCCTCTTTGTCTTCGTAACCACAAAGTCTCTTCTCATGGACCTTAGGACGACCAACCACCCCTCAATCGATATGTTCTTGATGTCGCCAAACTGTTCGATGGAGATAACAATCTGCATGAATCTTCGGAGAACAACTCGAAGGAACTTCTTGATGACGGAGATCTCCTCCACCACGTTGCCTAATGAATGGATGTTGTTGATGATCGTCGTCAACTTCATGGCAATGTCATCTATTGACTCATTGTTTTTCATGCAGATAGCCTTGAACTCACTTTTCAAGGTTTGCACCTTTGCTTCCTTGAAACGTTCCACACCCACGTGTGCAATGTCTCCCACATTGCTTGGTAGATGGTGGCAAGTGCCATCCTGTCCTTACGCTCCTCAACATCACCATGCTCGACGGCGTCCCACACGCCTTGTGCCTGTAAGTTAACACGCATCTTTATCGACCATTGTGTAGTTAATATTCGTGAGTAACAGGTACTTGAGCTTTACATTCCCCTCCTTTCCACTCTTTATCGTTGTCACTTCTCCTCTGGTGACTTTGTAAGGTGACGATATTTGTTTCGTCATGTTGAGAGCTCTGATACCAAATGTTGGAAATGACCCACGATCGAAATATGTCGAAACAAATAAATAAATCGGAAGAACAACTTGAGGGGAGATTGCTTTTGAATAGAGGAACCTTAAGCACGTAAGAACCGGGTGGTGACTTACTTGGTTGATGCATGTCCTTTCGCTAGGGTTTCCATGCCCGTAAGGTGTCCAAAAATACTGATTTACCCCAATTATGTCCTAAATCGCATAAAAATATGATTAGAATCGAAATCAGGATGAAGATCAGTCAAACAGAAGTCAGACGCACGGAAACAGAAACTCACGCACTCCTACGCGCTGCCATGCGTCCTCTCGCGCCCAGACGAAGTCTAGTCGCGGGTGTCACGCGAGGGTCAGATTCTGTAGTTGTGGTTTGCTAGGAAAGTTCGGGTCACTCAATTTGGGTCGTGGGTCGGCTGGAGCTACCACGTGTTGACGGTCGTATGGAGCCGTGTTGCTCCACTCTGCGTGTGACGCACTGCTCCACAGAGTGACACGTGTCACTTTTTCGCCAACAGGCTCCTCCTGTCGTCGGTTGACACGTGACTCCCTGAAAAATTTTCTTTCTCCTCCGCTCTTGAAAATTGGCTTCGGAAAATTTTCTTTCTTCTCCATTCCTGACAATTGGCTTGGATCTTTGCCTTTCCACCAAAATTCTGGCTAGTTTTTTTCATGAATCTTATGGAGAATTCTCTCTAGATGATCAAAATTTCAAACCTTGATTCATAACCGAGAGTTCTAGATCTGAGAAAAATGATCAAGATCTTACCTTGCAAATTTTCTCGATCTCTTGACGAAAAATGGTACTCCAAACGCCAACATCTTCTTCTTCCTTCCAAGAAGAAGTCCTTGTCGTTAGATCGTGGCTGGCAGCGACTTCCGACGATGGTTCAATGAGTTTTTGGATGGTTCTTTCTTCCTTCTCTCTAGGTTTTCTCTCAACTCTCTCTTTTGACTTTTCCTCTTTTGTCACACAATTGCTAGGGTGCCATTTTGACCCATAGTGGCTGGAGGGGAGGAAAAATTGCCTATTTGCCCTAGTGACTTTAACTTTCTTTTTTCTTTTTTCTTTTTTTTTTTCTTTTCCCTCGGTGCTACTTGTCTTGCACCATTGTAACACTAAAGAATAGCTTACTCAGGTTTTATCAGAAGAAAAGTATGGTTTTATCGGAAGAAAAGTATTTTGCTTTATCAAAAGAAAAGTATGCTGCTTTGAGCATCTGCAACTTTGAATCAAGGGGAGGGTTGAAATATGTTTCAAAGTTCTAACCAAGTTTTTAGGAAGCCGTTAGTAATTTCCTAAACTTATGAATTTGTTTATGGTCGATAGTTTAGCAGGATTTCCTTAATTTTTTATGATTTTTAGTTACTGTATAAGCCTATTTATTTTGGAACTTAGGGAGCGGTTAGTAATTTCCTATACTTATGAATTTGTTTATGGTCAATAGTTTAGCAGGATTTCCGTAATTTTTTATGATTTTTAGTTACTGTACTTTGTAACTCTTTTGGCAAAGTGTGAGTAAACAGTATAATAAAGCATTTGCAACTTTGATTCTATTCTATCTTTTGCTATCTCTTTCAATATTCTTTTCTCAACACGGTGTACCTTGCAACTGGTCAAATAGGTCGTCTATCGTAGGAGGGGATATTTTTTCTTGATTGTAACCTCATTTAACTCTTATACATAGTAGCAATGTCCTATCTTTTTTCTTAACAAACAACACAGGAGACCCCCAAGGTGAAGCACTGGGTCGTATAATCCTCTTGTCTAGAAGTTGTAATTGTACATTTAAGTCCTTAAGCTTAATGGGTGCCATTCTATAAGGCACTTTGGAGATTGGTGTTGTCCCTTGTTCAAGTCAATACCCAAGTCTACTTCTCGGCAGGGGTAACCTCGACAACTCTTCTAGAAAAACATCCACAAATTTCCTGATGACTGGAACAGAAGACGTCGTTGACTGGACTCATCGACTTTTGTCACACTAGCTAGAATTGCCCAAACGCCCTGATACAACAATTTCCTAGCCTTCAACATTGTTATGACTCTAGGGACACCACTACATATGTTCCCTTTGAATTCAAAGCTCATCTTCGATGGGACCTGAAGATCACCTTTCTGCCTTTACAACCAATGGGGCACGGTTCTCACCTAACCAGTCCATCCCTAAGATTACATCAAAGTCTTGCATGCACAGGACAATCAAGGACGCTTCAAGGTTTCACCCTGTAACTATCACTCTACCATCCTTAACTCGGTGGGTGGCGGTCAAGTACTTGTCTACCAGTGTGGACACAGTAAGGATTCACTCTAAGGGTTCAATCTCTAAGTTTGCAAACTCAACAAACCCCTCATAAATAAAGGAATGAGTGGCACCAAAATCAAATAATGTAAAGGCTAGGTGACCAAAGATAGGTAATGTACGTGTCACCATTGTGTTGGGCTCTTCTACTCTCTTGGTCGTGGTGGCATGGGTCACAACTTGGCCTTGCTATTGGGCCCCTCAGACCTTTCTGGTTCTCCTACAGTCAATTTGTCTCCTGATTCTTCTTATGAGGACAATCTGCTATGCAGTGACCTGACTTGCCACAACTAAAACAACCACCAGTCCCTGCTAGACATTCACCCTCATGATAGTTTTTACACTTGAGGCATTCAGTTCAATTATGCTCTGGAGCCCTACCACGACGCTTAAATCGCTCCTAGGGCTGTTTGTTAGATATGAAAACATTTCTACTAGGCCTTCTTCGATGACTAAAGGAAGTTTGAATGGTCACTACTAAGCCGACCTATATTGCCATGTGTCATGGCATGTCCATCAGAGTTGCTATTCTCAATGCTTCAACATAGTCAGAGGATCTTTGTGCAACAAAAAGTTCCTGGATCTCTATCTGCAGACCTGCGGTGAAGCAATCGGTCCTCATCTTCTCATTACTGACATACTAAAGGCAGAACTTTGCTAGCCTGTTAAACTCGATCATACTCCTCGACTGATTTGTTCTCTTATTTGAGTTCCAAAAAGGTTGTTTGACTTTTTATTTGGGCGACCACTGAGTAATACTTTGCTAGCCTGTTAAACTCGATCATACTCCTCGACTGATTTGTTCTCTTATTTGAGTTCCAAAAAGGTTGTTTGACTTTTTATTTGGGCGACCACTGAGTAATACTTACGAAGATAGGCTTCGTTAAACTGGTACTAGGTAATATACCCTCCCCAGGTACACTCCTCTTTTGGGTGCCTTTCCACCAAAAGTGAGCTTTGCCCTTCATCATATATGTTCCAAAATGAATTTGATACTCTTGTGGATAGTTCATATACAAAAAAAAAAAAAGGTCATTTCTACCACATCCAGAAAGGTCTTCGCTGCTATAGGATCAACTTTGTCGTCGTCAAAGGAAGGCAGTTTATACCTTTGAAAATCCCTCAAATAACGGGACTTCACTGTCATGCCCCTAATATCTCTAAACCCCTACATTAAAGTCTGACTGGCTGATGTCTTTTGACTGAGCATTAGAGAAAATTGGTTGACGGAAGAGAAATAGTTGAAGAAAATTTGTTGGAAGGAAAAAAAAAACAGCGCAGAAAAATAACAGAAATAGGAAGAGAACGAAAGCTTGGGATTTGACTTTGCTGAAAAACACGCTACAGATATTTCTCATTTATTTAGACTATTTACCTTCAAGCTACTTCTTCGGTCCTAGCCGAGAGGCTGACCGGCTGCTCTATCTCCAATTTCAGGATGTAAAAGCGGTTTTTGTGCGTTGAACTTGCGTGAGCAAGCCGTCGTCGATCATCGCAGATCTTGAGTAGCCTGCACTTGATGAAAATGTAGTAGCCGACCTCATCAAATTGACCCAAGCTCACAAGATTAGCCAGCCTTGAGTCTCGGTATGAAATAGACGTCGGTCAACTTAGATGTTTGCCAGTTTTTACACTTAGGGCATTCAGTTCAGTTTTGCTCTAGGGCCCTACCACGACGCTTAAATTGCTCCCCGAGTTGTTTGTCAGATCTGGAAAAATTTATACTAGACCTTCTTCAATGACTAAAGTCTGAATGGTCACTACTAAGTCGACCTATACTACCATATGTCATGGCATGTCCATCAAAGTTGCTATTATCAATGCTTCAGCATAGTTAGAGGATCTTTGTGCAATAAAAAATCCCTTGATCTCTATCTGGAGACCCGCGGTGAAGCAATCGGTCTTCATCTTCTCATTACTGACATACTCAAGGCAAAATCTTGCTAGCCAGTTAAACTCGAGGTCATACTCCTCGATTGATTTGTTCCCCTATTTGAGTTCCACAAAGGTTATTTGACTCTTGATTCGGGCAACCACTGAGTAATACTTACGAAGATAGGCTTCCTTGAATTGATACCACGTAATATACCCTCCCTAAGTACAATCCTCTTTTGGGTGCCTTTCCACCAAAAGTGAGCTTCGTCCTTCAGCATATATGTTACAAATTTAATCTGATACTCTTATGGACAGCTCATATACAAAAAGGTCATTTCTACAACCTCCAAAAAGGTCTCCGTTGCGATAGGATCAACTTTGTCGTCGTCAAAGGAAGACGGTTTATACCTTTGAAAATCCCTCAAATAACGAGACTTCACTATCATGCTTCTAAGGTCATACTCCTCGACTGATTTGTTCCCCTATTTGAGTTCCAAAAAGGTTGTTGACTCTTGATTCGAGCGACCACTAAGTAATACTTTTGAAGATAGGCTTCATTGAATTGATACCAGATAATATACCCTCTCTAGGTACAATCCTCTTTTGGGTGCCTTTCCACCAAAAGTGAGCTTCGCCCTTTCAGCATATATGTTCCAAAATTAATTTGATACTTTTGTGGACAGTTCATATACAAAAAGGTCGTTTCTACAACCTCCAGAAAGCTCTTCGCTACTATAGGATCAACTTTGTCGTCGTCAAAGGAAGGCGGTTTATACCTTTAAAAATCCCTCTAA